TACTGTACATGAATCTTGTATTTCAGACCAACTAAACATGAAGAGTTTACATTTCAAGCTGTCAAGGCAGAAAAAAAAATGGCGTCTCTATAAAATTCTATTATTTCCAACACTTGAAGTCTTCTGGGTGTGAAGTGCAGCATGTCAGTCATAATCCCTTCCAAAAGCAATATGATTCTTTCATCTTGTTTTCCTCGTTCTATTTCATGTGAGCTGACCTTGTGTAGTGTGACTCAATGCTTGTGTGTAAACGCACACTGTATCTGAGTGAATGTCTCAGATCAAATTTACATGTACACAAGAACAGCCTGTTCAGGCAATCAACATGAGAATTACTACAAGTACAGTATCAAGTCTCATGATGTAAGATGCAAAGATTAGTATAAGTCTACAGGTACCAGACTAACTGTGACATACATTTGGAAGCATGCGACTTCCAATATTTACCTACACATCCTCACAAGTACATGTATTGATATGAAACATGTTTCACAGGTGCATGTATTAATTTACTGTCTGGGGATACTTCATTAGGTGATTGTGTTCTTCACATTGCAAGTTCTTCATTCTGTGAAATATTTTTAAAGATATGACATTTACAGCATTGCGTGATGTGGTAGGCTACCAATTAATGAGGTTTATGTCGTGCCTGGCCAGATTCATAAGACTTACGTAGTCCTGGCTATTCGTGGATGGCTAAAAATAAAATCTCCACCAAATCTCAGTACCATGTTGACGCCAACGTCATATTGTCAAAGATTTCCTTTTGGACTTGAGTGTAATCGCAGATGAACCTCAGCATAACTTGATGTAACTCAAGAAAATGTGAAAAGACCCTTTGGCAATGAGTGGGTGCTTCATCAGACCCCCCTCCCCACACACAACTCCACGTTAGATGAGAGAAATCAGCATCAGTCCTTCTTGGTTTCAGAATTCTCCTTTTCAGAATCGTCCTTACTGTCCTGTGCATCTCGTTGTACCTCAGACTTGTCCTTGTTATCTTGCTCCTCTATTCCTGTTTCACTACCTCCACCTTCTGCTGGTGCCCCAGTCTCTTTCACCGTCATTTCTCCCAGCTTCTCAGCAATTTCATCAGCTGACTTTTCCTTGGAAGATTCTGCTGGTGTCTCCGTTGAGTTTTCCTCTGGCTTCTCGTTGTCTTTTTTCTCTTTAAAAGAAAAATATGTTACATTACAAAATTGTTCCTTGAAAAAGTTGAAAACAGTCTCCCATCTATATTTACAGGCAAGAGGACTTCCTAAGTACTGCCTCCTAAAATGAAATAAAATAAGGTAAAAAAGCAATGTATTTATAAACACCAGCTGCAGAATTTTTAGCTGTCTAAAATAAAATTTAAACTCTAGAGATTCTTCAGGAGTTAAACTACACCCTAACCTGGCAGTTATTATCTTGATTCAGACAAAATCAAAAATCATTCAGTTCTTTAAAAAAAAGCAAATATTTGACATACCTTGCTCTGATATCATTCGTTGGCACTCCTCAAATACATCCTTGAATTTTTGAGCATCTAAATTATAAATGGGATTATAAAAGAGAACTTGAAAACTATTTTCTTGGTTCTAAACCGCAGTGGCTGAGCAGTTTAAGCTAAGATATGTTCTTGCCAAGTACATGTACATGGATTATGGACTCAAATGAACATAAATAGATTAGAAGTTACCGCAACACTGGCTAGAACAAACCTTTAGATTTAAATCACCATTCAAACAAATCAAACAATGTTCCTCCTTCACAGGCCATGGTCAAGTGTTTTCAAGAATACAGCACTGTACAGGTTAACATACATGTAGGTTAAGCATGAGTGTACTTAGACAAATCAACTTCTTAAAAATAATAATTACCTAAAATGCTATGGGCACAGTTACCTAAAACTAGCTAAGTAAAACATCTCAATGAAACTGAAGTGACCGATCTTTTAATCAGACTACCTACTCTCAACATTTGCAAAGCGAATTGCTAACGTCTCTCCTTTGGCTTCTTCATCTGCAAAATCTGCTGGAGTGGACCACACCCATGCCCGCTCACTCCCACAATTGGGCTGCAATTTCATAACCGGTGTGACTGAATAAAAAAAACACACAAATCAAGGCAGAAGCAACACTTATAACTGCAATTCCAAGGTATCACAGCTTAGTGGACTCTCAGAAGAAACAGCCAAGATGCCATTGTTAGCCTTACAATGAGTCAGGCCTAAAAGGCCTTATACATTTAGTCGTTTATCAGCTAGATATCATTTTAGTATAACATCCAATATCAAATAAAGTCNACACGCGCTGTACGTGACACATGACCAGATGTGTCAGAAAAGCAAATGGCCAATCTACATTATGTTCATGTAGACTTTAAAATGACTGTTCAGAAAATCCCTGCACACATTTATGAATGTCGTTATCCGTATGCATACTGTACAAACTTTCGTACAAAGAAAATAAGGAAAATATTCCGCCAAGATTTTGCATGTTTCGCCTTATTTTCAACACACACAAAAAAAATGAAAAATGATTTGAATAGCAATGAAAAATTATGGGCATCATAGAGATTCAATATTTAAGGGATTTACAGAATAAAATCAATATTTATTTCTACTCTTTTTTTTCTAATTAAATTGCCTGTCTAAAATTATCACCTCATCCTAGTTGACCAAAATTACAAATTTTCAATTTTTCTATTAAATTTCAGAAATTTCAGACATGAGATCCCTAATTCTAGGCTGTGTATACACAGCTGAAAACACCCAGAAAGTGCTGTTTCCGGCCATCTGGGGGCTTTTAGATTCCAAAACTTTTCTGGATAGTCCTGCCGGCACTAAAACCATCCTGGGCAGAACCCTGAGCTGTCTAACATAAAATTTAAACTCTAGAGATTCTTTAGGAGTTAAACTACACCCTAACCTAGCAGTTATTATCTTGATACAGACAAAATCAAAAATCACTCAGTTCTTTAAAAAAAAAAGCAAATATTTGACATACCTTGCTCTGATATCATTCGTTGGCACTCCTCAAATACATCCTTGAATTTTTGAGCATCTAAATTATAAATGGGATTATAAAAGAGAACTTGAAAACTATTTTCTTGGTTCTAAACCGCAGTGGCTGAGCAGTTTAAGCTAAGATATATGTTCTTGCCAAGTACATGTACATGGATTATGGACTCAAATGAACATAAATAGATTAGAAGTTACCGCAACAATGGCAAGAACAAACCTTTAGATTTAAATCACCATTCAAACAAATCAAACAATGTTCCTCCTTCACAGGCCATGGTCAAGTGTTTTCAAGAATACAGCACTGTACAGGTTAACATACATGTAGGTTAAGCATGAGTGTACTTAGACAAATCAACTTCTTAAAAATAATAATTACATAAAATGCTATTCCTAAACCCATGGGCACAGTTACCTTAAACTAGCTAAGTAAAACATCTCAATGAAACTGAAGTGACGGATCTTTTAATCAGACTACCTACTCTCAACATTTGCAAAGCGAATTGCTAACGTCTCTCCTTTAGCTTCTTCATCTGCAAAATCTGCTGGAGTGGACCACACCCATGCCCGCTCACTCCCACAATTGGGCTGCAATTTCATAACCGGTGTGACTGCATAAAAAAAACACACAAATCAAGGCAGAAGCAACACTTATAACTGCAATTCCAACAAAGGTATCACAGCTTAGTGGACTCTCAGAAGAAACCGCCAAGATCCCATTGCTAGCCTTACAATGAGTCAGGCCTAAAAGGCCTTATACATTTAGTCGTTTATCAGCTAGATATCATTTTAGTATAACATCCAATATCAAATAAAGTCACNTCTATGTGAAAAGAAATAAGAAATAGAAATTCATGAGGTAAAAACAATAGAACGGCAGCATAAATCCAACTATTGGCATTGCCTAACTACACGTATGACAGAGTTTGTCTGTTTCATGCTATAAACATTCTTCAAAAATTCCAAGGTTCAATTACATTGTACTGCTAGACATTGATTTCAGAGCAAGTGTTTATTTCTTGGACTTACTGAAATGATTTGCACATATCTTGAGAGTCTTGTCTCTTCGCATCAGTACTCTTGCCCTGGGTTGAGTGCCTTTATGTCTTAGAATTTTCACATCGCCAACACCTCTTTCTTTCCACTCTGGAGGGTCAATGCTGGTGTCATATCGGAACAACTTACTCCTCCTGTATGGATTCCAAGATTTCAAACAAATAAGAAACACTTAGCAGACCAACAATAATCTAAAAGGAACTCAAACAATCAACATTTGGATCTCATTTCATTAAGCACGGTGTGGGTTAAACCAGTAGGGAAAACCAAAACATATTCAACATTCTGAAGTATTTAGAAGTATTTAACCCCTTCTCATCGGGAAGCGGTAAGAGACGCCGTAAAAATCGAGATCCCTCAGCCCGCTTTTGAGCTCGGCCCACGCTCGAGCGAACACAGTGAAAGAAGGCAGACCCTGGCTCTTGTATATATGGTGATTGGCCTTTGTGTGTTGCCAAGAAATGAAAAGGCCGAATTTGCATCATTATCACCAGCTGCACAATAGTCCCCACTTTGAAAAGAGGCAACGAGAATGTGGAAGCGCGAGTAGAGCCACATGCCACTGAACAATGAGCCTTTTCACTGTGTAAATCAAAGCGTGAAGAGCACGCAGGGCCAGAAATCAAGAATTTGCGGTTTGGCAAGTGGCCTTCATGGCCAAGCGAGGCTGGAATTCTCGGAGTCGGTGTTCAGAAAAAAGTCCTGGCGTCTAGGAATGGTGGCAGTAGTTGGTAAACAAGTATTTTGTTGTGGCAAATGTCTTACATCTTAAAGACTTCCTCTTCATCTTCTTCCAGCGTTTTTGTCTCCACTCGATCTAGTTTGACAATTGGTTCAAAGTGGATTTCTGGACTATGAGGGGGCTCTTCCGTCTGTCAATGAAAAAAAAACATCAATATAGCAGAACTTTATTCATCAACAATCAAGAGAACCAAATCACATGGGTGCTATTTATGAATGGACATCCAGGAGAGGGTCACCCATTTACAAGAGAACAGCTTCATAGCGTAGTGTGTGGTGTGCATCCTGCCATACTGCCAACTTAGAAGATGGTCAGATCCCAGATGTTTGTGACGTTGTGCATGTACAGGTACAGTGTGTGATGTATTGTGTAAAGGCTACAGTATGCAGATGGGCGGATTGTTTGTAAATTAGCAAAAGCTCTGAATTTTGCCAAAATGAGTTGGTTATACAGGAGTGTGAATGGCCACTTAAAATTAAGGCTGAAACAGCTTATAAAAAGTTGAAATGTAAAAAGTTCCCATACTTTTGTACAATCTCGGTATACAAAAACGCTGAATTTCAGTGCCAAATCTAAACTAAGAAAGCTGCCATCAGCTAAAACGCTGAATTCTCACAACCCTGGTTACACAAAAAGGTTTCAAGGTTCCCTTGGTCCAGTTCGGTGCAAGGTACAAAATGCTCAAAAGTAAAACAACAAACATGCCTTGACGTTTCTTCCAGCTTTTTTCATGGTTGCCATTTTTGATTTATTCCACAAGCACAAAATCCAAAGCCTGTCTGTCCTGTGGATAACTGACAGAATGTTTCTTTGTTTTGTCAGATTTTGTACACGTGATGCAGGCCTTACATTTAAGTTGTCATGCTTGTGTATTTTGCAAATGTGCGCACAGAATGTACAGTTAGGTACGGCCTGGTACCTAACTTTTTTGTCTCGGAGCCAGAGGTTCCTCCATACAGCACTGCAATGTTGGAAAGGCATTGTGGGAAGGAAATAGGGGCAATGTTTGCTCCTTTTTCCTTCCCACAATACCCTTCTACAATTGTGCAATATCAGCCATGCGGTAAGGCCAAGGCCTACAAATGATAAGGGCACCTCTGCAATAAGGGGTTATATTATATACTAGAAAACACCAAAATATACCAAAAAACACGGCAAAACTACCAAAAAACACAGCAAAACTACCAAAAACTACTGGAAAACACCTCAACACCGGAAAACACCCTAAATACTGAAAAACACTGAAACCAATAATAAAACCCGAAGAACTTTCTTGAAACACTTAGTGACCTACCAACCACTGGAAAACCTACAAAACGAAAATTATCAAATGTCGTCAACCAAAAAACGTCAAGAAAGCCCAACAGATGAACAAAAAGCACCTAACAGGTACTATAAATCACCAAGAGGACGGCCGAAAACCAATAACTAACCAGAAGACCTTTCTTGAAACTACCAACTGCTGGAAAACGTACAAAATGAAAATTATCAAATGCAGACAACCAAAAAATAAATAAATAAAACACTGAAGCCCAACAGATGACAGAAAGCACTTTTCATGTAGCACTTAACAGGTGCTGTTAATCACCAGAGGATGGCCGAAACCACCTGCCACCTTTTGGTATGAACTTGTGCTACAATAAACTTCATAGTAGCCAGCCCTTGGGTACGCATCTCATGTATTCAAATTTCCTTTAACCACTTTGCAGACTGGCTTTTCATGAGTATGTTTTCACACTGCCCTTCTGATGTCGGAAATGGAACGACCAATTGACTTGGAAAAGGATTCATGTTTGGCAGTTGAATAAATTGTGCACCAATCATCTCCATAATTATAGTTAGTTATGTCGAGTTTGATATGACTTGGAAAGATAGGCTGTCATGTAAATCAGTTATTAAGAGTGTTCATTTAGCATTAAAATCACATTCCTTTTTGGCTAAAAAAAAATTGTTTTACCAAGTGAAGTGATGTCGTGCATCTTCTCCACAAAATTGAGCATGCTTTACAATGGCACATATTCACTTCATTCATTTCTTCTTTTAGATGAAAGCGTAACATGTTTTTATTCCATAAATCCAACCACATGAAATTTACACGGGTGAGCGGGACAGAAAAGGAATTTTCAAAAGGCATAGTCAGCCAATAATTGTGCACGTCTTGCATAGGTAGCACTGCAGGAAGCACTTTTCGATGTACTACGCACCGACTTGTAAAACTGTGTCATCCCAGTCTTCCCAGTATAATCGCATCAGAATCAGGGCGACACAACACTTGAAACATGGTCCAATTAACCCTAATCCCCAAGGGTGTATATGAAATTGTACTGAAATTGGAGGATTTGGGAGCAGGTTAGGGTCAATAGATAGAGAATATAAAGACTGGATCGGTTGTGCGTAAAAATACGTGCCCATTATGTGCAGGACAAAATGTAACTCCATTTCTGAGGTCCGCATGAACGCGCCAAGTGTTTAGGGTGTTTTCCGATGTTTATTTCATTTATTTGCCAGATAAGAGGACATAGGCCTACATGTCACTGTATATATGTGTATACAGTACCCTTTTCCTACGTCCTTGGCATTACTAAGAAGAATCCTAGGCCTCCTTCATGTAGGTCTACACTGCAGTGTATGTGTATTTCGAGAAGCGATGAATGTCACCCGAGCCAAACAATGAACTAAAGAAACAAACATGGCTAAGCAATTCCTGTTCTAGATCTACACACTAATATGATAAATATTGTACAAAATACTGTTATCTTTAAACGATACAGCATTTACACTGGAGCATTCTGATCAACAAACCTTTATATCAGCCATGATGGATGTGATACACTCGGATAAATTTCACGAAGAACTGTCAAATTGCACGCGTCTCAGCTACACTGTATTGTACCGGTACAATATATACAGTGCTCACGTACGTTCCCGCTTGCGCAATTTGAATTGCCAATAGAGGGCGCCTTTCATTATTTTAGTGTATCACCGGCAGGATTAGGCTAGGAGCGAGTGCACTGCGCCAGCTGCGAATGTAGACATTACGTAACTCGTATTTATGTTACCAGTTGCCGCAATCCCCCCCACGCATCCTTTAAGGAAGTGGAGCAAACGGGGATGAAAATTCTCCCACTGGTATACTAACAACGATCTTGCTTTGATGTATACATCATACATGTATTTTCCTACATTAATTTGTGCTTTGCACACTCCGACCTCTAACAAACCGAAGAAAACATAAGCAATTCCATAGCCAATTAGAAATGTATATTTTCTCGAGTTTAAGGCATGCCTGTATGCCTAAATTCTTTCTCAATACCTTGATAACATACACAAATATACAATTTGAAGTTGGATGTCAGGCTTTTATGTTCATAACTGATCTCGTAAATACATAGATTAACAAAGAAATATTGGCAGCAGAAAGGGGGCAGTGGCCTACCAACTACACTACTCAAAACAAAGTTCAGGACCACTTTTTATTTTGTGTATACTTTTTTATAAGATGAAAATGTGCATTTGGTGTTTTGAAACATTCTCAACATTTTTTATTCCAATGAGAACACCATCTAGGCAAACAAAAATGAAAGAACTAGACCCCACTCATTGCTTGAAAAAAATTTCACGTTAAGAAAAAGTGATCCTTAACCTTTAACCTTTTTTGAGTAGTATATTTCGGCTGGGGGCACTTTTTCTATCATGGAGTGGGGCTTAATGAATCAGCCTAATAATGGCCGAAGCCTGAGGGTCTAACAACTGGTCCCCCCACTTTGCCAAAATCATTCTGTCGATGGTGTGAAGAAACTATACAACATTATGACCAGTTAGGGCAGCAACACAGCTAAACAACAGTAACATTAAACAAAGTGACGAGCAATGATGTTCTAAAAAATACCGCATTTGTTCCCATTTTCCCACATAAACTGTCTCTTGTGGAATTATATGCATCACATAATACAAATTCTTGACTGCAAGCTTTGCTCTTCAATAAAATGCCAAATCAGTGAAGAAAACGTCGTAAGCAGATCTTGCTCTGAAATGGTTTTAACATATGATACTTATCACATGCACAAATATAACTCTTAACAGGCAAATAATACAGAAACTCAGTATGTTCTATCTTGTCACTCACTCACTGGCTTATTCCTTGTACCCTAATTGTTTCTTATCTTGTATGTTGTAATCTTAAGTGTTTTTACAATTTTTTACACTGTTTAATTTTATGTCTACTGATATCAGCCACTAGAAAATGTAATAAAATAAAACTAAAATAAAAACTACATATTTAAAAAAGCACCACTTTGGTATTTCCCCTGCCAATCTCTGGAAACAAACATGATGTCTTCCATCCAGCTACTACCTCCTTACTTGAAAGTTAACATCAGTAGCATGACTGGAATGTTTCAACCACCTGCTGAAACCATGAAGTCTGACAAGGAGATTTCAACAAAATGCAGGTTTAATGCTCAGTTCTCATATCCCTCATCACTCTGCAGCTTCTGGATTAGGTTTGAAGATCTTAAGATATTTCTCAGAATTCTGTAAAAAGGAGATTCAAGACAATAAAATAGATTCAATATTTGGCAGTACACTAAGTGAAGTACTGAATTTGTAACTGATTTCAAGTCAAGAGCGTAATTCCAAATAATCAAAATGAACAACCCCAAGACACACATCCACCTTTCTGCTGTGACAGAGTTCTGAGTAGACACCTTTTGCAAGAATGTAAATGTATTACTACCCTTTTTATAAGGTTTCCCACACTCTTATCGGTTTCCCACACTCTTCTAGAGGGATCCCAATACGATGCTTTTAGCGTCGATCTGCGCACTTCCGCGTTTGAAAACGAGGCTGTATGTGTCAGCTTCAAATCTAAATACGATCAGACGATTGAAAGTAAGGAGTCAAGACACAAAATACATAAATTATGTTAAATTCAGACTTTTCAGGCTGCAAATTTTTGTGGAAGACTCTTTCAGGATGACTCCACACGTCAAATCAAACAAAAAATAACGGCAATTTACCGCGAACTAACGTACCTGCGATGGTTGTGTATCTGCATTTGCAATGGGCGTGGTTTAAACTGAAGTGGCATCACACTTACGAACCGGATACTGCATTTACTGTGTCGACTCCTCAGGCGCGCGCGACGAAGTTCAACGAAGATAGCCTCGGTTTTGATGCCGATATGCGCAGACAGCGCTAATGTGAAATCCCTCTATTGGTTTCCCACACTCTTATTTGGTTTGCAAATCAAATGGAACTCATACAAAATTCCTCTTTTCAGTCCTAACCTGGTCTAGCTATCAACAAAACTTGACAAACATTTCCAACCTGATGTAGCGTCCTGACTTGTAGACCCATTTCTAGTGCAGCTTGCTCAAGGTACTCAGTCTCAGCTGGTGTCAGAGTGTCCAAAGCAAATGGCATCTCCATCAAGACCGCATCCTCAACAAATGCCCTGCAAATCAAATCACAGAAACTAACAAGAACTACCAGAATTGCTTATGCACATGGCTGCACTAACCTAGGAACTGCCTCCTGGGTCAATGCAGCAGTGTTTTAGAGAAATAATGTGAACAATGGAACTTAGATAACATGCACAAACAGATCAAACTCCTCCAATGGGCCTTCAGCTGGACCAAGAGAGGGAGCTATTTCCTTAGCAACAGGGGCGCCTTTGGTACTAACTGGGTACAATACTGGTTCACAAATGACTAGAAAACACAAGCACTGCGGTCACACCGCTACCAACAAAATGAACACCAATGCGGTTCTTTTCAGCTGATGAGGGAGTGCTTCTGCTCAAGGCAGATATCACACATAAGCCATGATTAGACCACATTTTATGTACATCCAACTGAACATCAAATAAATGAAACCATTCAAAGTATTTATTACTTCAAATTGCTTCCCATGTAAATAACACACTTAAACATGCTGAGATATGACAAAGACAGACCTTGTTATCAAAGAAATGTTGGAACGGATTGCTTTTTCTAGAGTCCAATCCACTTAAATAGAAGAAATGTGTTTATTACTTGAGTTTTGTGCGGAGAAGTTCTTGTGCTTCTGGAGGACACTTCTTCTGTTTATCCTTTGTCTTAGTGTCATTGGCTTTGACCTGTTTGTCCACATCTGTTCAAAGAAATATTCATTTCAATTCAACAACAACATTTATTTCCATAATGCCATGTATGGAATATTATGACAACATAATTTCAAAGAGCAAAGATGTGAAAAAATAAAGCAAAGAAAAAGAAAAAGCTGCATGGCAATAATGGAGGCCTGATCAGGAAGACTAGGTCTTGTAGAGACATGCCCTGAACAAAACGGGACAATTGGACGGGACAAAACAACAAACAATACAGTCAAGAGACAGAGGCTTCAATCTTAACTGGGATCATGGGCAAAATAATATTAAGTGAGATAACATAGATGGCTCATGACAAAATGGTATCATTTAATATAGAAGAAGCTATTCTAGGATAATTCTTGGAAATATAGGATTAATCTTTTTGAAAACTACTAAAGCTCTGTAGATGACTTACCCTTGTTGGTGGTATTTGCTGATGCGAACATTCTGCTATACATCATCTTATCAAGCTGCTCAAACTTTGCCTTGACCTTTCCAAGTTGCCTCAATTCAGCTTCAATAGCAGAGTTCTTGGGACTTATTTTCTGAGCCTTGGACAGCCAATGCCTAGCTTGATCAAACTCTCCACTCCTAAGCAAGGCCTTTTGAATAACAGATTGGAAACAGAATTCTTGAAAAGTCCAAAAATAAAGAAGTACACAGTAAAAATTTCAAGTTTGGTTGACAACTTAAACCATATATCACAAAGTATATTTGACCATTGTTATCAAGTAATCAAGAGAAACTTTACCTGGCCACGTCTGAACAATGCTTTGATGTTGTCAGGGTCAATTTCTAATGCCTTTGTGCAATTAGAGAGTGCTCTTGTATAGTGACCTTGCTTGATGTAGCATATAGACATGTTCAGGTACAGTTTCAGTAGTACTCTTCTCATCTCATCCTCTTCAGACTGGTTGGCTAGTCTAGCATTTTCAAGGAGTCTTATAGCCTTCAAAAGAAAGATTCATAACAATCAAAATACATGTATACTGCTATACTTGGACTGAAAACGGTTTGCTTTCCAAATCCAAGTGGATTTTCTGTCTGTAGTTTCGTTTCTGTCATCAAATTTCATGCAGAGCTCCATCTACAATAAAGAGAAATTTCAAGCTATTCATGGTGACAGACAATTAAGGTGCAAAGCAGCACCATGCAAGGATACCATCTCTTTGTGAGTCTGTATGGTTCTGAAAAGTACCATGAGGAACAGTCTCCTGACGACGGACAGAGCATACTGTCCAAAACGTTGAGTTCCTCACGGTTCTTTTCAGAACCATACGATCTCACAAAGAGATCGTATCCTTGCATGGTGCTACCGCGAGCTTTCCACCTTAAAGAGAAATTTGTTACTTGGAACAAAAGCACAAAATCAAGTTCAGTAGTTGAAATCCGTTTCCTGAGGTAAAAGCTTGAGAGTAACAATCAGGTATCATGAATAATGATAAATTGGCACACCCAATCACAAGATACTACAGTACACAAGGATTGCATGGTCTTCATCAATCCTCAAGTTACCTTGATATAATGTGACGTTGCTTTTGATGTTCGTTTCTCCTCATATGCCTCGTTACCAGCCTGAAAACAAACACACATTAATTTCAAACCTGTCTATTTCCAGATCTCTACACTGTATCATCAGTTAATGCTTAATTCAAACAAAAGACTATTCAGATCAAGTCAGTCAGTAGCTGAGACCTAACCAGCTAAATTTTTATTAAAAACTTGGTCAATAATGTAAACAATCATCCACCCTGAGCTGAAGTGCGCCCTCAACGGTGAAAGAAAAACAGATGGTACTAACTTTACCAACCAGGTTCTAGCATGCGTTCGGCATGCACACGAAGACGGCACCTTGTAGAGTAAAATCATCAAGCATACTCAGCATGCTCTGTGTCAAACGCACATAAACTTGCACACCCATGCAGTGCATGAGTACCAAAAGACTATCAATTTCATTTCAAACACGCCCTCTTTTGTTCCTGCTCAGACAAACCACACTGGGACAGCAAATACAATATACATTGTGGAGGACTGGCTGAGTTGTTCCTCGGTTGATATCGGTGGCAAATATATGGATCATTCTATGACTTAGGGGTCTAATTTTCTTGTGTCCCTGTCACATCTGACATAAGAGTTTGTAAGTTCAGAATGCATTTTCTAATTTTCAAGAGTGATGAATTAATGCTAATTACCTGCCAAACAAACAGTAATAGTTTGAAAACAATGCCAGGGATATTTCCATGCCAAATGACAGAAGTCAGATGTAACAGGGACACAAAAATGTCAAACCTTTGGACCCCAAATTTATAAAATGACCCATATGTAATATCTGCATAAACACAATGCATCCCAATTTGATTGAAAAATCATTTCTACCTTCCGCTCAGCATTTGCTACTTCAAGGATCTCGTCAAAAGTTGCTGCTTTCCTTTTTTCAGCTGTCCAGGTATCCATGTCAGGTGCAATGGGAGTCTCAGATATAGCCAGCAACTCAATCACAAACAGAACTAAGAAGACAAATTAAAATGGGCACAAAATGAAAAAAGTGGCTTTTATTTCTCACCACTTACTCAACACATCCAAAAATCTCTTAAACCAAAGATAAACATTTCAATGGAAGCTGTTACAATAAGTGTCTGCTAAATGTTGTCCTGTAAACAAGAATAAAAGGTCATTATCTTTTGCAAGACCTCCCTTCCAACCTGTCAAAATGGGCACCTGTCAAGTTTCTGACCAAACCTAACCACTCTGAACCATACTGCGCATACTTGTTGCATTTTCTGGAATTCTTGGTGGGACGCCTCTTGGACCAAAAGCATACTCGGGTGAAACAAGGAAGTCAGACTTCTCTCCCTTACGCATTGTTGATACAGCAATCTCAAGCCCGGGGATCACTTGGCCTAGAATAAAATCGTCACAGAATAATGAAAAACAGAAGAATAAATTTTCAGTGTTACCGAAATGCAATGCTTGCTGGAAATACATTTCACAAATATCTACAGTTTGAGTTTGTGATTACAGGCATGCCCCTTTGTGATGATCTCAATACATTCAGGCTATCTACAGCTACTATGTCAAAAACAGCACGAGAATAAGTCCATTACTATAAATATGAAATCACGATAAACACAGAAGAAAAAAAAATTTATGATGACAGAGAAAGTGTTCTGCCCTACTTACCCTCCCCCAGTGTAATTTTTTGTGGTTTATTGCGCAGTTTGGAGGAATCATAAGGTACGTCGCAGTATTCAAAATAACCCTCATAGTGAACTGCCAAGCAAAGAAACGAAACAAATTTACTCTCCACAAAAATAGCAAATCTACATGAATATGTACAATAACACTGACGTTCTGAACATTGTTTCTGTTTTCAGAACAAGAACCTAACCCGGCAGGAATATTTTGCCAATTAGTTTTCCAAGTAATGATCATCTTGGTATAAAATTGAACCTAAACTAATGTTTATAACAGCAATTACTGCCAACTTGGAGGAAATACGAATTGATGCACGTTTAGTCTTCATTTGATGAGCATGTTCTCATTAATCTCTGAAAATCACCTTTTCAAGCATGTATGAATAAGTGTGTATTAAGCACCTGTACATGAAACCAAATGTGTTCAAACTATCTGCAATGTCTGCCGTTAAAATGGACACTTACTTGTTGCAGTCCAACCTTCTTGAAAGACTTCACCTGAACCAACTTTCTTCACTCTTTTCTTGACACCGCCATCACTTATTACAGAGAACATTCCCTTTGCAATAACTTCAAATGGAGTCTGACAGGAGAAAAGGAGACCAGAAACCATTATCATTTAGGATAAACAAATATGACACTTGCACTTATGGTAATAGTTAGTCAAAGCAAACCAACACCTTTATTATCCGTGCCTTCATCTGATGATGTGATACTAGAATGCCTTTGGGCAAAAATATAGAGCAAAGAAAATTCTTGCATTTGGAAAGATTGAAGCCTAAGTAAATAATATAAAGCAGTTTGGAGGTCCAGTAAGTGGTCACTTGACAATGGAATTCATTCAACTGAACTGAATACTATTTGCTCAGGCCCAAGACAACCTCACTTTGTGACTTTTCCCCATGAACAAACAGAATGACTTCAACTAATCCAAACAGAAAGTTCAATCAACACACACTATTCAGCTAATTGTTCAATAAATGCAAGAAAAACAATGCTCTAATAAAAGTACTATCCTCCCTCATCACCTGACCTCCTGAATTTGACTTCTTGTCGAACTTCTTGTTTGAAACACACTATCGTACACTTACACACCGCACAGATAGCAATATCAACTATCAACAACTACAACTTCTAACATGTCTAAGGCGGATCCTGTATGAGTGCATAGAGGTATCCTGACTTTGTACCTACTCACCTGACTGTCATCTCCTGAGTCATTCCCACCAATATTATTGGCCTCATAGTTTAAGTGTTTGAATACCTCTTCCTCATCAAAATACTGCTTCTCTTTGGGAGCTGATCAGTGAAAACAGAACAAGTATGGGAGTTCAACAATTTGAGCTGATCTAATGAGATGAGCAACATAATAAGAAGAATAATAATAACGAGCACTTGTAAAGCGCCCTCTATCTAGCAAACTATTCCAATGCCCTGTATTATCACTGGGTCACACATCATCTGAACATTCCTGAAACCATCTCAGCTCCCTGGGGAGTATACTAGCCCGGTGCTGCCATTTCCACGCAAACGGCTAAACAACTGTGTCTGCCCTCACAGGGTACCCATTTACTCCTGGGTGGAGAGAGGCACATAGGGGTAAAGTGACTTGCCCAAGATCACAACATGCTGCCACCAGCTGGATTCGCACCCCTGACCCTATGATCAGAAGCTACAAACCCTAACCACTAGGCCACATGCCTCCATACACATGTATATAATTATCATCAAAACATTACTAATCTACAAAGTTTGACCCTCTGGTGGATGTGAACCCACACAAAGGTGACACAGAAAGCTATAACCTCCACACTGACAACTGGCGCCATTCTCTGAATCTCAGCTTGGTCTTTGGTTAGACATTCATCTAGGGCTCCACTATCATTTCAAATGCTTAACATGGAAAAAGCTTGTTCTCTCAACACTGGGGAGTAAATTTCATGAAATTGAACTTGAAGATGAAGACAACATTTCGGAAACCCCAAGAGACATGGTGTTCTTGTACAGTACCTTCTGGCAGCAGGACTTCAAACTCAGAGCCTTTACTGTCAGGCTTACGCAGTTCTTCAAGATCAACTGGTTCCGTAAGTTTGACGTGGAACTCATCTTCAATTGAATTCACATCATCCATGGTGAAACAACACTGAAAAAGTGCAAAAAGAAAAGGTTCGAACAAATCCTTTTGGTCATGTTGATTATCTTGTTGATTTGTTTCATAATTGAGTTGTGAAATTCACTTTGCTTGTAGGATGTTGTTGGATCATTTTCATCAGGAGAATGAGAGGGTGGCGAGTAAAAGCTCCGACTTTTTCAAGAAATAGTCAGTCATATGGTCTTAAAAGCATAGGTCAACAGATTTTAAGAGATATGCATCAGTTTGGATGGCTTTTGGTGGAAGGTTTGAATGAAAGAGTGAAATTTTTGAGTGAATGTACTCCGATCAGCATTAATTGATGCAACTGGGCTGCATTCAAAAACTCAGTGTTACACACCTGTTAAAAAGTCAAAGGGCTGTTTGCCACATGGACTGGTGACTTGCAGTTCTGTCATCAAGTCAGTTTGGTTATATCTCCAAAACACAAGAAACATGGCATAAAAACGAAGTCTAAAGCCCAAAACATGGACTTGCTAGCCTGGTTCGGGAAACCCTTGCCCTAATGCTGGAGTTGATGCTGCTATTTGGAGTCAATCATGTCAATCAAGCCCTACAGAGGACTTACGAGTAACATTGTTACTAACTTCAACAGTCAACGATGCACTGCTAGCCTACATGTACACGTACTGTACTTCCTCTTCTACATCGGTACTTGGCAGAGTCCTCACACTGGGATATCATTCCAAGATATGCACATGAACATCTAGGAAAGAGTTCCACATACAGACGCTGCTTAACACCCCGAGCAAAAACCCTGTGACTAGAGAGTGATCAGAAAAATTATGAGTGTTTTCTAAGTAAACGACTTAGTTCTTTTCCCTCCTAAACTGAAATTTTCTGGACGTGTTTTTGCTGTCTGACGGCTAGGCCTATTAGTAATAGGTCACTCTCCTGACTGTCATAATCTGACGACTGTAGGGAATAATTAGTAGCAAACGTATGTCCAACTCTTCCCCCTACAGTTACCTACATGTATTACTCATCAGAAAGCAAAAACACGTCCAGAACAGTTTGATTTAAGGAGGGAAAATATGTAGAATTTTTCAGACAAGTCTCAAACATGTCGAAGGGTTTATGCATGGGGTGTCAAGTGGCGTCTCCACATACGTGGTGTATGGGCATATGGAACTCATTCCCAATTGACAATAATGTAGGTAAGTGCAGGAATTTTTGACCGAGAGAATTCGACCAACTGCACCTAGGCAACTCTGCAGATGGTCAAATTTCTTGTTTTTCTTATGTGGTCCAATATACCCTCCTTACCCTACATGTACAAGCTGGAGTTGAAAGTGTCAGCAGTGTCAATACTGGCTTCCTAAATTCCAAGAAGGTATTGTTCTCGGGAACAAAGAGTATTTGTAGACATGACCATCATTGTTGGTGTAACTGTGAGTAGACCCTAAATACCTGTTAAAAAACTGATGGTTGATAACTGCATGTTTCCACGCTTTGGTCATGGTGGTTCCTGCATAGGGTAAAGGTGGGGGGTATTGGAACACATAAGAAAACCAAGAAATTCGACCAGCTACGTAGTTTTTTAATGCAGTTGCTCCTCCTGGTCGAAAATTCCCGCACTTACCCTAGGCGTATACTGTTCCTTGCTCCACCATGGTTCCTAGAAAGTAGAAGGACTGCAGGGGTCCCGGGTTAAAAAATTCAATGAGATGGGCTCAGCTGGTTGTGGAAGATCAGTAGAATAGCAAGGCCTACATACTACTACTAAAAAAAAAGTACTAGTACATGAAGACTGGTGTAGTGCATGTGTGTCTATTATTTAGTATTAAATAACAGTACTATTCATTTAAGTTAGAACTTGGAAAAGCCTTGGATGACACAGTACGTCATCTGTCATTCTCTTTCATCATTACCTTGATATTTATAAAGAAAACCTTTCTTCAGAAAACTTCGTGTAGGCCTACCATGGAGGAAGGAACACAGCTACCAACTGCACTGACATGACTGACACACGTGTTGTGTAGCCTAAGGTCATATGCATAGCGGGGTTGACCTTCAGGCCTCGGCCTCGCGCCCATGCAGTACATGTACACACAATACATGTAGAGTACATGTCAGGGCCGGCCATGCGCATAGCTATGTAGGCAGCTCGCAGACCTGGCCGCTGGGAATCACGTGTGGATTTAACGTCATCTATCCCAAAATAGCAACTTTGCATATGTAATTAAGTTCGGCCACGCGCGCTAAAAGGACTGAAAAGAGGCTGGAACCAGATGACTAAATTTACATACACCCACGTGATGGCAGGTGCTTGGTAAACAAGAAACCTCATTGGACGATGTAGGATGTTGTTGCATAATTGATTATTGCTTCCAAAATCAATAGGGCAGTGGAAACGTTATTATAGAAACTAACATTATGATTGTATGTTTTTTTGCAGTATTTTACACAAATTTCCTTTCACATCCTTGCTTTAATGAACAAAAATACACTATTCTTAGATAATGTTCTGGGTAAATAGCACATTTATATTTTTGTTAGGGTTTAATATATGCAGACACGTGCTTAAACCCCCTAAAATAAAAATGAATGATGCCATTATATGTTTTGATGGCAGACGTACGCGTGGTGGTTGGCACGGTGCGACTTGACCATAGGCTGTGCCTTTCATGCGTATGGTTAACGTATACCGTTTCGCGTTATGTCATGAAATTTTCCACATACACAACTGCGTAGTTCCCCGCCATCTTTGCGATCGGCCACGAAACTCTAATCTTTTCGTCAATTTTGGACTTCCAAAAACACCATTCGGAGCCTGAAATCAAAGGGATTCGGAGTTGTGCTATTCTTGGCCAAGCTTTGGTGCAAATCGAGGCCACAGCTATGAGCATCGAGACGCTTTTGGAGGCTGCCAAGTTCGTGGAGTGGTCCGATCAAATCGGTCATTCAGCACGTGGACAAAATGGTAATATGGGCGGATGTCGAATTGTTCCATGTTACAGTGATAGCTCGCACCAACAAGTGTTGCCTCATTCCATGCTCATTCACAATAATCGTCTATGGCCCTAATGATTTTTAAGGTTGTAAGGTATTTAAAGAAATCATTTTAGATGAATGAATGTAGGATTATAGGGGCCTAGGCCATGTTAGCTCAGTGATCATCAGAAAGGCCGTGTCATCATGGTCATCATGATGATGTGACCTTGTTTTTTTTCACTGAAATTGAATATTCATTGGGCCTTACGCTAAAAATAGAATGTATGTAGCGAGCTGACGTTTAAGTTGTACATGTACTCATTCCAAACCCATGCTGCACATGTTTTTAAATGCTCAACTCTGCTGAATTAATACAGGTACATGTGATGTAAACAAGTACCAATATCCATACAGTACATGTTCATTTTACTGTGCTTACTCTCTTTGTTAAAGTATAAACATGGTAAATAATTTTTAGAGGCCAATGGGCAAACAGCAATGACTGGAGAACCAGAGTAATTTGCATAATTCGTGTGACTTTTGGAAATTTGTGATGCAGCTGATGTTTATAATGTTCTTTAAAATGGTTCAAACTTAAATGGACACTGTTTTCACTAAAGAATATAAATGCCCATTTCTCAGTATTGACATTTCAAACAGTCCAGAACGATTTTTTCTTTTGCATTTTCTGTTACTTTGCAACATATTTATCTTCTTTTGCAACATATTTTCTTCCAACAAAAGTTTTCACTATAAATGCAATTTTTAGATATGGTGAAAGCTCCTTCGGACATTGAGGAATCAGAAAGGAATATCCATGTACCATCTTATTAAAAAAGCAGCCATTACCCCTTTCAAAATTAACCCACATGAGAAGTTATTTTATACGCCATGCATATTTGGCCTATACAGCTTCAGTTTCGAATATCCAGATTTTAAAAAACAGCTTTTGAAATAGCATATTTTGCTAATATTACAATAACTTAACAACGAGTCCTTGTTATTGCTATTATAATCAACAATTTCTGTTAATGACACCAAGGATTCCTCAAAGTGCCCTACATGTAGGTAATGTAGCTCACAAGCCTGAAGAAGAGAGGAGACAGTAAGAAGCAGTTACAGTTTTAGAGGTGGAAGGAAAATCCTAGAGGAATATTCTGGGTAAAAGCTACCCTGGAATCAGGTAGGGACAGAAAACCCAATCCACATATGGACTGGGCCAGGAATCGAACCTCGGACCACAGAAGTGAACCGCTACGCCAACCTGACCCCTTTATTGTGTCACACAAATTGTATTGATATTTTTCTTTCTAGATCCAGAAGTGCTTGGCCATAGCCACAATGGCCAAAGCATGGCTTTCAGCGGCCCCAGCTATGTTGCTGTGTCCAGCAGTCCATCATCCTCTCCTGGATCAAATAAATCCAGTCCAGTAACATCAAGTAGACAACAAAATGTGTCCAGTTCCAACACAGACACATTGGATGAAGGAGATGACAAGAGGTAAATAGACCGTACACGGCTTCTCATTTGCTGAAGCTTTTCCCTGTGAGTTAAGTATGAATTCCAGATGAAAATGCTTAACAAAATTGTTTTGTAAATGTCTCATGTTTCAGCCTACAAAATTTCCAAAAATTTATATTTCCAGTCAAGTGCAAAGTTGACGTTTAAAATATCTCTCAACCTTGGAGTTTTACACATTTGATACCGAAGACTTGCATGTATCTTGCATATACAGTGTATATGTATTCAGAAGTCTGATAACTTCTTTACTTCTGAGTAGTTCGAACAGATTACCTCAGAAGACATACGCTTAGTAATTTGTGAATCAGGGGTTTAGATAACTTTCTTCAAGCCATGAGTACAAAATACCAACTTCTTTGCTTAGAGTAGAGTACAGTACTCTTTTACCCTCAGTTTTGTTAAGTATCGTACTCTTCTTCATGAGAGGGAGAGTACTGTACTCCCTGAGAGGGGAGAAATTGAGTACCAATGTGATGTGAGTTTGTCCTTTTGCCTCAGGAAATATAATAATAATAATCTCTTGAAAAACACGATAAAAAAAACCAGCGCTTAGTGATAACCATTACCTCATGACACCAGAGACAAAATTGCACAAGCCTGTATCCGCCCATGTACGGCTGCACTGGTGTTGCTATGCGGACGCCATGTTGACTGCCCACCGTGCACACACACCCGGCGGTGGCCATTCAGAAAATCATGGAGCACTTTATCATTCAGTGGTCAGATGCACTTACACTCATGATCTAAACTTCAATCTTTCTACAGTGTTTCAGACTCAAATTTACCAAAAGTGATACCTGGTTTCTTGTTAGATGTACCGGAAAGCCACTGAAACACCACTTGAAAAACACCCATGTTTAGCAAATCAATACTTGCAGAAAACTTCAAGTTTAACACACAACTTTCAATGAGGAATTCAAGCAACTCAAACCCTATCCATTCATGCAAAAATAGATGAAACTAGTGAGGTCCCCATGGGCTAGAAATCACTTTCACTGCATTGTGTCTTTGGGGAGTCTGGTGACCATGTTTTGTACATTAAAAAAATGATCCATGCACAAACCCATGCGCAGTAGCCCATTTTGGTCTATAACATGCTTCGCTTTGGGTCTTATGCATATGCCAATATGCATGTTATCCCTGGTGAATAATTTGTTTTAATGAACCATTTACATATGAACATGTTCTTCAAATGCACTTCCTTAATTGATTGGTGACGAATTACAATTTGAAAACAGGAATCAGATTTGTGTTTAATTTATATTGTCATTACACGTATAAAGTACAATGCAGGCCTACACATGAGTACATGTACATGGAGGTTGATATTTTATGGATCCATTTCATCGACTGATCAATCAAGTGATAAGTTTTACTCTGTAAGTACACACACTTTTACATGTTGGACAGGATTCTCAGTAAAGCTTCCTAAAACCATCATTAGCTAGGGCTGTGCTGAATATCTGATTGATTATCAGATATTTCAGAATTTGAATATTCAAATGCAAAATTCATGAAAAGGAAGGGAGAATTTTCATTTGTTTTAAATGAGAAAAATTGCACCATGGAGGTTTGTTTCAAGCAGATTCAAATGAAAAGTGACAGAATGATATACATGTATCTTGCATTGATTCAGATTTACTATTCATTAATAATGTAAGGACTAGAGACTGTCAACAGGGCAAGAAGTAGTGTTCACCTGTTAGATCTTACTAAATTGTGACTGGAGATGGTCCTGTAGGTGAGAAGCTGTTATATTGATTATACATGTAATGCACAAATGTGTGCATTATTGCAACTGATTTTTTATGTGATTTATTCAACAATCTGCTGTTCGGTACAGCCGGGTATTCGAATTGAAGGTCGAATATTCCAATAGTGAATTATTCGAATTGACTCATCCTATCATTAATATTTTGAGATCACTTTTCATAGAAATAAGGCCAATATATAACCTACATGTATTATTCACTGTCTCTTCAGAGTAACAAAGCAGGGAGGAATTGAACAGGTCACCATGACGACGGTTCAGTAAATGATATCTCAATGTGAATTTCAGATCCTGCCTATAACCAGGAAAATCTCTGTGACCACTATGAACATGTAGAAAGCAGGATTCAAAAATCAATAAAATCAATTTTAATGAAACAATTGAGATAAAAGTTGAACCACTGATCTCCACATACTGACTTGATGGAATTCATGCCTATTGCCATGCTCGTATAAAGCAACTATGGCTTGATTTTTGAGGACCTCTAAAGATTGCTGCATCTACATTGGGTGCAGTATGTATGTACAGGGTACTGTGTGTACATGTACATGCCTACATGTATGTAGCATACAAACTGACTATAATTTTTCCGTGTTTGCAAGAAGTAATGAGCAAAAACAAGGTACATAAGGAGGTAAAGATGCATGAAAATTTGACCTACAGGTAAATATCCCTGCCAGGGCAGGTTGGTAGAATAAGTCCACATGAAATGGCTTGCAGTGACCGTGTTATGACAGCCATCTGTGATTGAGATCACAGACAACTACTGACAATGCACAGGTGCACAAGCTCACAATGGGAAGTTTAATTTGGGTAAATTTTGGGACTCCCAAGATGTCACTTGGTGAATTGATTCATCCCTCGACTTTGATGCACTCAAGACAGTTAAGGTAGGTTTAACTTTCAAGTACGTCGTAAAGCAGCAGTCTCACACATTTTTGGACCAGAAGAGGGCAGTATTCACCACTTACACTGTAAATGTACCAGATGTGTACATGTACATGTAAGGAAATCCCTGACAGTCTATCAATTAGGAGGAAAACATACACATTTTTAAAACTATAAACTCGATGTGTATATTCTCATGCTTCATGTACATGTACATGTAATGGCAACATGTAACCAAGGATGTCACTATTAGCCCTTACCAAGTGGGCTTGTAGTTCAGTGTTTACATGTACAAACATGAAGCACATTTAAAATTCATGAACATGACATGTACATTTGTATGCATTCATGTACGTGTACCTGTAGGCGTGTACAGTTGTCCTTTAAATACAGTACATTATACATGTACGTTTGCACATGTATACATGTACATGTGTGTACCTGTTCCATGTACACCGATATCATACATGCAGAAACCTTTTGCCATGGGCAAAGAAAGTGCTACCATGATTGCCCATGTACTGTGCATGTTACAACACTGTAAATGACTCATCTGATCATTAATTATCTGTTTCAAAGGCAGTCTAAAATTATCCATGTCTGTACATGTGTATACTGCAAGCCTTCCATTGCATGTACCGGTAGTTCAACAAATATTGCCATCATACATTTAGATTTATTCCACTTACACATACAAATTTTCAGTTGCCTTCATTGTGAAATTGTACTTTGCAATGAGACTTGGCAGGATAAGGAACAAATCTGTTTTGTTAATTACATGTAGTAACATGACTTTTGTGCAGCTTCTGACTTCTGATTATTGTGAAATTGAAATCCCATGGTGAAAAACTAAGAGAATGTTTTGGATGTTTTTGTGTGCAGTCATCTGTTACCATGGTGCACAGGACGGAGTTGCATGTACAGGAAAAATGTTTGAAGGCAGATCGGTGCTGTTTAATTGGCTAGTAGCATTTGTAAGGAAAGTGACAGCTTTGAAAACAAATTGTGCCAGTTGTGAAATAAAACATACCATACAAGGAAGGCTCCACACATGCTGTGTTTCTCTTTCCAGAGTATTCTTTAAGAGTAGCTGCAAAGCAAAGTTATTATTCAAAGAACAAACAAATAGAAATCCAAGATCACATTGTTTACCCTTCAACTTCAAATGCCCTTCTTTTGCCTGTGTTAAAGTACACTCGGATTGCTCAGTTATGAAGTTCAGACATTTATTTACCAACATGCAGAAAGTTGCACTTCACTTTGTTTCAAATGAATTCTGTCCCAGGCATTTGTAACTTTTTACATTTGTATTCATTGTTTCTCATATTTTGATGGTTTTTTCACATTTCAGTCAATTAATTAGAAGTCATTTTATGAAGTTGAAAGTACAGATGGACCTGTTATTGGCTTATGGTGTGCACAGACTTGTAACACATTCGTTTCAGAACATAACCTAGGGCTACATATTTGTAATGTATGTTTGTAGTCCAAGAAAAATGCAGTCTTTATGATTAATCTCAACAATAACAATTTTCTGGTTTCCCTCGGTTCACAGGTCTGGCACAAGGGAAGTTCATAATAAACTGGAGAAAAACAGGTAATGCTTCACAGTACTAAACCATTGACATTAGAGAAAAGGGTGTGTAACATGCACATCTGCAGCACAGATCAATTGTGGATTGTTGGCCACCCAAAGGAGCAAGATCAAAGTTGCAAAGAAAATACCAGAGAACAGAAATAAGATTTCCACAGAATTTAATTATATTAAACAAATAAACCAAATATAAACAAAAGTAAAGAAGAAGACTAAATTACATGAATAATTAACCTAAATGTAATCAAAACCAATTGAAATTAACTCCGCTTACGGAGTGTAAATTAATTCAAATTAAACCAATTACTAAATTAGGTAAATTAATAAGAGCCAACCAAATTCTTGCAAAATAAATAAACAAATAATTCAAATGCTTTCAACTTAATCATATGGTGTGTATCCTCAAACTTAAAAAAATAAGACTTTCATAATTTCTTTTAAACTTCAACTCCTCGATTCCTTTTCCTCTATTCAAATATTCTCATCTTTTCCAATCACAAGTGTGGCAAGTGTCAATACATTAATTTCAAACAACTTATTGACTGATCGATCAGGATTTTAACAATATTTATAAATATCTATGGTGGGCCCATTAACTTTTGATCTGCACTTCCCACGATCCTCGGTTGTCCTCTGGTCATCACTCGGAAGTGGCTGCTGTTCTCTGACCTCACTTAGCATCTCTACATCTGACCGCTGGCCATTATCAAACAATCCTTTCGCTTAGCAGGACTTTCTGAGGAAGCTGCCAAGATGGTCTCAAAGAGTCAACGCCAATCTATGTGCAACATCTACGACTCCAGACTACGACATTGTACATGTATTTCATGGTGTGTAGAACAAAATTTTGCTTTGACCAAAGTTTCTGTGACTGTAGTGGCTGACGACTTCATGCATCTGTTTAAGTCAGGTTTACAGGTCTTAACCATCCACAACTACAAGTACCATTCGGCCATCGCAGCTGTACATGATGGCTTCCCAGATGGTTAGACCATGTCTGACAATGGGGCCCTTAGATACATGTACCTCCAGGGCGTCCCCATACAAAGAGACTTATTCCTGCCTGGGACTTGTCAGCCATTCTTCAACTACTGACCAGTGCCCCCTTCGAGCCACTCAGTGTAGCACCACTACTCATTTTGATGGTGAAGCCGGCCTTCTTGGCAGTTACTACCTCACGATGAGGCAGCGAACTCAAAGCCTTATCCAATGGCCATATCCGATGGGAACCCCACTGCGACCGCCTCATCCCAGCGCTGGGTTTCCTCACCAAGAACAAGTCATCCTTCTTTCACCCTCCCGATATATTTGTGCCGGACATTACCAAGCACACTGGGACCCCAGATGACAAACCCTGGTGCCTGGTGCAAACTCTTAAGTGGTACCTGGTGAGAACTAAACAACTTAAAGATACAACATCGCAGCTATTCATCACGACAATAAAACACTGTAGCCAGATGGGCAGTTTCGGCCATCAAGTTTGCTATAAACCAGACTGGCTCATCGCTCCAGCAAATCAAACGCAGTGCCTCATCAGGGCTCATGACATCCGGGCTGTATCAACCTCCTGGGCCTACTTCCAGGGTGTGCTGTGGACAAGTGGTCTAGATTTGGATAAAGAAATGCTCAGATGGGAAGAATTAATACGTTTTGTGGGTTGGATGCGCGGAATAAAAACAGATTGGCTGTTTTGCTGGGAAAAAAATCAAAATCGTGTGTAATCCAGATTTGGATACAAACTTTGGTAGGCTCTGAATAAAAGAAAGACATATGTATCAGTGCGACACAGAAAATTAAAACCACTCCTGATTCAGGTTGGGATAGAAACTTTCCTGGGTTGGACGCTCGGAATAGGGAAAGAACATTTAGCGACAGGGCAGAGAAAAATGAAAAACCACACTTGGTCCAGGTTTGGATAGAAAAGAAATGTCGAGATTGGAAGGATAAATATTTTTGGCGGATGGATGGCTGAAATAAAAGGGAAAATGTTACAAAATCTGCAACAGATTTGTGTCGCCTGTAGCATGCAAACAATCTTCACAATTTTTTGGCAGGTCTCCTGTGCTCGTAGTCACACTCGATTGGCGCACAGCAACAATCACACTTCACGTAACAATCACTCCTTTCATTTCACTCCTCAGGCTCATGATTCATTCTTAACATGGCTCATTCAAAAGTAAAGGAAATACTCACAGGTGTTCTCTTTGAAATATCTTCATTTACAAACTAAAGAGACTTATCTCAGTCTCGCTGTTGGCAAAAAATACATCAAACCCTGCAAAAGTAAATGGCATAAAATAGACATACTATGCAAAAGGAAATCTCAGTATAGCATCAGATGTGACAGGGTACTTTTTATATTCAAAAGAAGATTCATTTTTATCAGATGGTGTAAGTCAAGTAGACATCATTTAAAATGATGTAAAACATCTACATGTTGTACCTAGACGTACAGTCATGGAGATTATAAAGTATACACTTCAGTGTTTCTGTTTATGTAAGTTCGTTCATGTGCATGTATCATAAAGGTGTAAATGAATGTTTTTCATCATTTTTCAAGAAGGCCAAATAATGTCTACATGTAAGTCAAGGTTTTGTATGATCAAGAATTGAAAGAATACCTGCTGTAAGTAAATGTAGAAATGGGTAAAACAAATGTTAACAGCATTGCGTATTTTCTTTACAGACGCGCCCAGTTGAAGGAATGTTTTGACAATTTACGTGACCAAATCCCCAACCTGGACAACAAGAAGTTGAAGCCATCAAATCTGAGCATTCTCCAAGGAGCTTTGAGATACTTACAGGTGAAATTACTGACACAAGTAAAAAATTGTGTTTCAGAGGATTACTTAGATTTATGATCCACACACGAACTACTCAAGAAACAACTCATATTGGCAGATATAACAGTCATTAAATATTTATCTTTGTCTTTGGCCGAAACCTCTTAATTTTTCTTCCTCTTATAACCTATTCCAAGAGAAAAAGATGATTTTAATGAGCATTTTAGGACTTAAAAAGTTGACGTTCTGTAAAATTATAGAGCTTGCTTTGTTCACCCATCTAGAACCTTTCTACATGTACGTAGACACTGGTTATGGACCCCAAACATACTGTACACTTCCAGACTGTACCCCTGGTATTGTTATGGCAGTCTTAATCTGTGATTAGATTGTTTTTTTATCACCAGGCCCTGAAAAGGAAAGAACGAGAACTCGAGTATGAGACAGAGAGGTTAGCAAGGCAGAAGATACTCTATCAAGAGAAGCTTGCAAAACTCAGTGGATGTTCCTTGCCCCCCTGGAAGAAGGCGGAGCCAGAACCAAAGGAGGAGGAGGCAGAAAATGAGATGCAGGATGACAAGGAAGATGATCGAGAGTCTGTCTCAACAAGCACTTCAACTGCATCAGGTTGGAGCAGTTTTCTTTCACCATAACAGTCATTAATCTGTCACCTGTATAGATAAGACCAGAGTTTGTAGAGGAAGGGCAGTGTTTCCTATAAGAGGAAGCCATCACTGTACCATCTTTTTCACATTTCCTGGTTGCTTTTTACTGATAGTAGTTTTGAATTGTTTGTGTTTACAGAAGCAGAAGAAGAAGAAAGGAAATCCAGAGCTCAGTCTCCAGAGAGCAAGTCAAGCCCTGTAGTTCAGGGATCAGAAAAGTCCAACCCTTCAGCAGTCAGAACTGGCCCCTTGAAGGATCGTGTTATCAAGGTTACTCAGTCTGTCAAGGAACAGTCAGGACCTTTTGTCATCAGTCGTCAGATTGTCACCCGTGTGCCCATGTCAACTTCTGCCACAGCTTCACAGCAACAGCAGCAGGTTGCTGCTCAAATGCCTCACCAGCTGCAAGGTGCCAACCATAAGAAAGCAACCAGCCAATTACAGACTGCACAGGGACCTGCAGGTCAGACACAGTCCATGGTGGTTGGGACCAACCCACAGCTTACAATTACAAAAGAATCTGTTCCACAGCGACCACCAGAGACAATGACCCAACGAGTCGCAGCGACCCAAAAAGTTGTCATCCGACCTCCATCTGCAGCTCAGCTCATTAAAACACAACAAACACTAACCCAGAAACCAAGCAGTGCTACACAATCCACAATACTGAAGCAACCCACATCAGGTCCAATGCAGCCATCATCTCTTCCCCAAGTCATTAGGCAGTTTGACAGTCACTCTACAGCAGTATCTGCTGTGCAAGAACACTTGAAAAACAAAGCTCAAAGTAAAATACCTCAGCAACAGAAAAATCCTGTCAGGACAATTTCAACTACAACAATGACAACAGAATCCACAGCCTCATCCAAGGCAAACATACCTGTAGTAAGCACAGCAGCAGTTGTTACGAGCTCAACTGGTGTCTCCAGGCAAACAGTCAGCCAACTCCTTGGTAAACAGTCCATGGTTATAAGACAACCAGTTCGACGAACAGACAACAAATTAATTGTCCAAAGAGTTTTACCGCACCCATTCAGTCCACGCCCTCAAACGGTGGATATTATGCCCAAATCTCCAACAGCTTTGTCCAGTAGTGACTCCGTCAAGTCAAAGACAAACCAAGCCACTCCAACATCCATCACTGTGGTTACCTATAAAGATCTACCTCCCAGTATCACCACCAGCATTATGTCAGGTTCCGTTCCAACAACTAGTAGTAACATAGCTACGAATGTTTCAAAACAAAGTGTACTCACCTGCACAGTCCAGCAGGCGACACCATCAGCAGATGCAAGAAACCTTATCAGTCATAGCGTCATGTTGTCATCGGTTCCACACTATCCTCCCACTGCAGGATTTGCAGCCACCATGCTGAGGCCTAACCCTAGCATGTTGACTGCTGCTAATGCAACTCTGTTGAACCAAGCAATGGTAGCAGGTCCTAGGAACGTCACTTCACAGTTGACTTTTCCTGGAAGTAAAGACAGCAGCCCAGGGAAATTGCAGTCACCAGCTTCAGGTGCTGTGTCATTCTTCCCTACTGCTGTAACTCAAGCCAGAGTGTCCACAGTGTCACACCTAAAAGTGCCGTCGCTGTCCTATACCACTCCTATGACCCCTGTTCACTCATTTCTCCCCCCAGGGCTGACATTACAGCCTGCCCTTACTCAGGTGCTCTTTACACAACCACCTAATGCAGCTTACACCTTGGCCAATTCAACACCGGCTCAGACTCTTGTTAACACCACTCAGTCTCATCAGACTGTTATCAGACATCCATTAGCAGCGACAGCTGGAGCACAGCTGCCTCAAGTTGTCACAACAATGGCTACAGCTATTGTAAGTAGCACTTGTAATGCACAGACATCAGTTGCCATGACATTACCCCCAGTTGTCACAATTGGAGCCCTTTCTCTCAATCCATTGCTGGGTACCAATAGGGCTCTTGTTACTGCGCCAACATACACCACTCTTGGTCAGTATCCCCACCGGTTCCCATTCGCTGGGCAGGTTCCCCTCATCTCTCCAGTGGCATTTGCCAGCAATCCTAGCAATGCAGCGCTACCAGTGACTTCTGTTGGTAGCCCTGCTTCAAACAATGGGAAAGCATCCAATGGTGTGATAGTACACACTGTGGCTGTCCCTGCCGGGATGCCAGTTACCAGTTCTTGGCTTGACACTTCTAATGTAAGTAACGGAATACCAGTGAAAGATTTGATGCTCACTGCACCAGCAACATCAGGATCAAGCGTTATCATGGGAACAACTCAGCCAGCAGTAACAACTGTTCCAATCAGTTCACAAGAGGGCAGTGTTGATGATAGCAAAATCGGTTCAGAGCCCTCAGTTGTAGTGACAAGTAGCAATTAAAGCTGCTTGTCACAACTACATATACATAAAATGTATTGAATTCATTAAGTTTCATGTAGGCACCGTCAATATCATATTTTGGCCGATACCGATGTATCTTTTTTATATCAATATTATCGATATATCAAATTTTATTCATTTTAATTTTCAAGGTATTAAAACAGGCGTGAATTGCTGTTCAATTGTTCTAAGGGTACACCCCTACACCGTAATGGTGTGATCCAATTCACTTTGGCGACATGTTCTGGCATCTGTATTGCATATGTTGTCTGCATGGGATGGGATGCTGCCGTGCATAGCGATATCATCAGCACGCGGTGCTAGCCTACTTCCGTTTGGTTAGCAAATCATTCTCTGTTTTGGAGGATAAATTTTGTGATTTTTTTAGGCAAAGTGTACAAAGTGCGAGACTGAGATAGGTGACTGAATTTATTCTTCAAATGTCGCCGCATAAGCCGCCTGGAGTATAAGCTACAGGGATATTTTTCACTCAGCGTGAAAACCAACGTAAGCCGTAGCTTATAGAAAACTACAGTAATGTGACGATGCACTTTTCTATTTTTTAATAAAGTTTGTTCTTCGGTAGTGATATTTTCGATGTATTTTATTGATGTAGCAATGTTTTCGAAGTCGCGATATTTTTGATATTTCTCCAAAATCTGATATTTTCAATGTGTCGTTATTACCAAATAACTAACATCAGCAATATCGATACCAATCCCATATCGATAATATTGATATATCGACGGTGTTTACCTTCATGCAATATAATTAACTGCCTGCAGGTGACTACATACACTGCATATGTTAACTGTTTTGTTTTTGTGTTTCTCTGCTTTTTACATTTGGCTCTGAAAAGTTTTAAAATTGAAATTTTAGGTACATGTATGTGTCATATTTGTTGCTGAAGTTATAAAATATACATGTACATGTGTGTACCACACATTTTCTGTAAAATCTCATTGCACAGATATGTGAAATAATTGACATTTTCTCGATTGAAAAAAGCCTTTTCTCTAAGCATACTTAGCATACTAAGCACCCATTGGCATACATGTACATGTAGCTGAATATATTTTAGGTCTCTTAAGACCTACGCTAATATCCAGTGTATGATCAATAATGGTTTTTAAAACCCACTCTATTATCTTGTTGTTGCATTGTTTGTCTGCCAGTTGTAGGCAGTTGGTTGGTGAGTAGGTCACTTTTCAGATCTGTCAATATGTAAAATACATTTCATACTTCTGTCAAGTACAAAAAGTGTGTAATGCGACATTAAGAACTAGTTAGACTGTCTTGCGGAACATCATGAGAGTATACCAAAATTCTGGAGAAAACTGTACATGCTATTTTTGTATTGTTCTGTAAGAATGGATATCCAAAGAGAGTATTTTTGCATGTACATTGTATCTCTTGCAGTACAGTAGTGTCCACAGTGTTGGTCCTCACAAAATACAAGAAGTAAATCAAGTAAAAAAGCAATTCAGCCTCAAAGGAGACTCTGGCTCTGACGTGACGTTTTTGTGCACAACATATTCATCAACTTAAACATCTACATATAAGCACGTGTTCATTTCAAAACCAAATTTGTATCACCTTAACTTTGGTGAAAAAATCTGTGACTTTTGTCAGAGAAATCACAAGTTCAAATCTACATGCGGCTTTGTACACTTTTCTTAAAAGTAATACATATTTACGAAAAGTAGTTTTGGGGACATACCATTTTTCTTGAAAGATTGGCTTTCACATATTTGTTGGAGGTTTGGAAGGCAAGTTTTCTTGAAAATGAAACATTGGGCTTGCCTTAAAGGCGTGGCATACCAAGAATTGTGATACTTTTGCAAAATATTAAATACAGTGTGATGATCTTCACAAGTAAAGATTGTATAATCTTTGTACATTTGATGTAATTGTTTACTATCAACTGTGTGTACATGTATTTCATTGTACAAACATAATGCAAGTACATGTATTTATTAAGATAGAAAGTCATCAGATTTATGAAGCAGAAGATAAATAAATTATATTCAGAAGAAAATAATATGCATTTATAAGTATCGACATGATTCCTCGTCTGAAAATACATTATGACACGTACCAGCAAAACCTCTCACCCTGTGTGTGACATTTCAGCTTGTAACTCAGAAGTCAAAATTTTAAGAGCTCTTGTTTACAAACATAAAACACAAATCAGATGGAAAATAACTTAAAAGTACAGTGAATCAGGTGTTTTTTCATACATAAATATTTATTACATTAACATTAGTAAATACATGTGCATATACTGTACATACAAAGCAAACAATCATTTGAATGTCGATTTCAGAATACAATTTGTTGAATCGGAATGGCAACTGTAATAATATTGCACGTATCAAGTTTTTATAAATGTAAGCATTCCCTCCTATAGCAGTGGGAAAAGTCATTTTGCAGACGTCAAAAGAAAAGACTTGCAGATCTTTTAAATATACATGCACAGCACTTGATGTCTTCAGCTGGGTGGTGGGAACAGAGCCATGTTCCATCACCGTCCTTTTTGTTCCAGTTGAGTATCGTGAATGAGATAATGAGCCATTGACTCGGTTTTCAAGTGACAAGTTGTGCCAATACAGTCCCCTTTTTAACAGTTGAATCTCGTTAAGAAGAGGTCTTTCAGACTTGGCAAATTACCTCGTAATAACAGGAATCTTGTATTATCAGGAATGACGATGAAAAACAAAGGATTGGGACCGAAAGATTTCCTTGTTATAAGCAGAATCTTGTATGAACTTAACAAGGTTTGACTGTAATTGGCAGACATGAAATCTTGAATGTCATTTAAATGTTGATCATTGCCTACCCTCACACAAAGCCAATGAATGCCATTAACACCATTGATAGCATCATTCGCTAGCCATGGAAAGGAGTACATATAAACTGTTACAGAAAATGAGGTGAAGAAGTGTTGTAGAGATGTGTATGTTGGAAAAAGAGAAATGTTTGTTTTTTGTTTTATTTGTAATGGTTCCCTTGCAGATGACAAAAACCAAACAAATGTCATCAATCAGAATGATGAAGTGTAACTCAGAAGTTGGGAACAAAGGCAGACTAACTCCCAGGAATATCAGACCGGGAAAAGGAAAAGGTTACTCTTGTCAAAAATATGAATTTAAATTATCAAGTTTAGGCTGAACAAAATGACAGTACTTACATGTAGTTAACAGAAACAAATGTAAGTTTTCTTCACCCTATTCACTGATGTTTCACTTTATACTCAACTAAATAATATCTCAGATAAAAATCTACATCCGGCAAAATTGTTGGAATGACAATAGCCATAAAACACTGACGGGGATTCAAAGTTCTTGTGTTGGCAGGTACACAGTGCCATATTTGAAGTTGTCGGTATATTATTACGGTGGCTGGATTCTGTTCTATTAGGTGTCTTGAGTATGTGACATTTTTACACTATTATTTGATTAGTTACCATAGTAAACATACTTATACCCAACCTTTTGTAACATATACAAACCATGCTGCTATCCACAGTCGCTGCTTATCAGGACATGCTGAATTATTATACCCAAAATTTCCACTAATGTCAGTTTCATCTTCAATACATGCGTAATTGTAGTAGACATGAATTATATTTATCTTCATTTCCAGTTTTGAATTTTGTTTTCAGATAAACTTAACACAGCAATGACAAACATTGACGAATGCCCTTAATGAGCATGACCATTCAAACTCGGCAAAGTCAAGTACATGTAATTAACAGCTTTTTAACTCTCCTATGCTGAAGTCATTCTTTGGGTAACTTGGTGAACACCTCCAAGAAGCACAGCTGTGTTGTGTTGTGCACTGCACTGACAGTCCCTCACAGGAATATCAGATTGCACTTTTGTGCTGCCCAACAACTTCGCTTCACTGTTTCAT